TGGGTCAATCATGAGCACATGGTCCTCTCGAAATTAGTTTAAAATTAAACTTCACTTATTATCAATTATCAGTGTGAACTCTCGAAATGATTGTTAGACTGTTGCACTTTTTTGTGTTGTCGATATGCTTGTGTTTATAGAGGCCTACTGTTGTGTGCCTCTCAGAGAAATGTGAGGGTTGCGAGTCCCTGGCGTAGTTATTCGGGGGTCATGGGCTGAAAAGATTGGGAACCCCTCCTGTAGATAATCGAAATAAAATATATTGCTTAAGAAGGCTAATAATATTGACCTTAAAACAACCTTTAAAAATGTTAAAAACTGCTTTTATTCTAGCCAAAATAAAACAAATAAGACTTTCTCCAGAGGAAAAAATATTATAGGAAATACTGTGAAAATTCCCTTGCTCTGTTAATGATCTTTTGGGAAATATTTGACAAAGAAATAAAAATTCACAGGAAGGCGAATGGGGCGAAGCAGTGGCGCAGTAGGTAGTGCTGTCGCCTCGCAGCAAGAAGGTCGCTGGTTTGAGCCTCGGCTCAGTTGGCGTTTCTGCGTGGAGTTTGCATGCTCTCCCCATGTGGGTTTCCTCCAGGTGCTCCGGTTCCCCCCACAGTCCAAACACATGAGGTACAGTTGAATTGGGTAGGCTAAATTGTCCGCAATGTGTGTGTGGATGTTTCCCAGAGATGGGTTGTGGCTGGAAGGGCATCCGCTGCGTAAAAACTTGCTGGATAAGTGGCGGTTCATTCAGCTGTGGCGACCCCGGATTAATAAAGGGACTAAGCCGACAAGAAAATGAATGAAGGACGGCGAATAGCTGTGAGTTCAACTTTTATGATTAACTTTAGACGTATTCATCCAAACTGAGCAAACTGTCACGTTCCCCGTTGCAGAGTAAATTCCCTCTTTCTGACTGGATCCTGTGATTCGGTCTGAGTTTTCCGCATTGCAGAAATCATCGAGACCTAATGATGGCTCAGGGATGGAGGAATGAAAGCGGAGGCGTAACGTCCTGGATGAACAAATGATCCAGCGACTGGAATGACAAACGTTCCTCTGCTAAACACACACACACACACACACACACACACACACACACACACACACACACACACACACACTCAGACTGATCTCCAGCACTTCCTCATAGAGAAACATTTACTGTTCATCTCATCTGCTGGAGCACCTGCAGAGCTATGAATCACACTGACACACACTCATATACACACACTTTACCCACACTTTACACACACACACACACACACACACACATAGCATACCATATGCACTCTAATACTCACACACACATTCACAAAGCATACACACACTTTTTCTCTTTCTCACTATTACACACACACACACAGCAAACATAGACACATTTTATTTCATACACAAACTCGCAAACACACACACAGAAACACACATCAGCACACACACACACACTTCATACACAAAGAGCATACACACACTAGCACTCTCATCAACACATAAACACATTTGATACACTCACACACTTTAAACCTACCCATCAGCATATATGCACATACACACACACACACACACACACACACACACACACACACACAGCAAACATACAGACACATTTTATTTCATACACACACTCGCAAACACGCACACAGAAACACACATCAGCACACAAACACACACACAGAGCATACACACACTAACACTTTCTCTCTCAAACACACACACACACACAACACACAACGAATATACAGATGCATTTAATTTCATACACACACTCGCATACACATACACAGACACAAACAAGTGCACACACACACACACACACACACATAAGTATTTTATACAAACACACAAACCAACACCACGTGCACACACACACACAAACACACACATAAGTATTTTATACAAACACACAAACCAACACCACGTGCACACACACACACACACACAAACACACACATAAGTATTTTATACAAACACACAAACCAACACCACCTGCACACACACACACACACTCGCGTGCACATCCTCACACATTTCACTTCAAATGCTTTTGCAGCTTGTACAAACCACTTAGTTAAATTGAGTTGAAGCAACACAAATCTTCAGGTCATTGTAGGACAACTAATTATTTTATGCTCAATCCACACACATTTGTAAAAATGATTCAGTCAACTTGATCTGTTTGTGTTGGGACAACATGAAGGAATTGTGTGGAAGCCAGCACTTTTTACAGTGTGTGTTGACTCAGATGAAAGCACTCTGTCTGATTGAAGCCAGTAAAGAAGTGCAGTAAAGCCCGTAGTAAAAGACGGTAATGCTGTTAACTCTGTTTTGTTGCTGAGAGTTACTGATAGTGTGATCCTGCTTCATCAGCACTGTGTCCTTGAGCATCGCACATCACCACACACACACACAGTAAATTTATCAGATTACTGTTATTTTCCAATTATTTAGTGTTTCAGGGCTATGGAGGTATTGACTGATTATTGTTTTCGCATTAGTGCTGCACTTTATTGCAGAAAATCTGATATCGGGATATTTTATAATATTCAATAAATATTGCAATAAGAATACAGTTTCACAAGATTAAGTTTGTTTGTTATGGGAGCTTTTTAGCAATTAAGTTATTGACATATTCTTATTAAATGACAGCTTATTTACATTATGGGATGTGTTTTTATAAGTGTTTTACATTTTAAGACTTTTTATTTAAAAAAACAAAACTGGTTTTTCAACAAAGTTGAACTCTAGCTTGACTCTATTGACCTTATTCTAAAACGCGGAAGTGCGCCTGTTTTCGCGATTGTCTTCCGATTCAGTCGCCTATGGGAGAAATGACTAGGAATAATAAACGGCAGAAAACGGTCAAACTACTTGCTCTACAAACAAATGTTTGCATGACTATACAGACCAAGTAGAATAATATAATAAGAAAATATCAAATTGCAACATCAAGCAGCGTAATGCGCAGTTTTTAACGTCAAAAAATGAATGGAAGTGAATGAGACCGGAAGTGTCGAGCCAAAAAGATTCAAATGGCAGCGCCCGCTCGTCTGTAGAGAATAAGGTGAATAAGGTTCTTTGAGTGAGCCAATCGATTATCTTTATAATTATATAAATTGTAGTTATCTGCATATGAAATTACGAATAACAAATGTAACAGGGCATTAAATTACATTACTGTTTATTTCTTTGCATTTTAACTTCGTAAACTATCCGCTTGTTAAGTGTGACGTCACGCGGAGCGGCTTCCGGGTCCAAGCGCTCTATTCAACTGAATGGGGAGATTCATGAAATGGTAACAATAAACGTTTACAAAGCGATTTAAAACTTTCGAAAGTCATGATCGCAATATATATGTCCATGCCTAATATCCGATGGACAGAAAGTGATTCATTGTTTTATAAATTGTTAAAATGTTGCTATTTGTTATGCAGCAAGCCCAGAGATTGTTGCATACACTGTGACTTTATGTAAAATAAACTTTAATGTGTGATAGGAATAAAAAGTGATCATAAACGAATGATTTCTCCACTCAAATAAATGGCAGCTTGGACCCGGAAACAGTATTACATACGTCACAAACACGTCATCACTTAACAACCGGATGAAATAATGCGTCTTCTCAGGAGTTGCGTCTCATTTTGTGAGCTGACATAGCTGACATTGTTCGCTCCCCTCCTTCTCCCCTGCTAGCCACGCCCACTCCTGCCCTCTGCTCACGGAGCTCCACGCCCATTATAATACATCTTTTGAAAACATTCTGAGGTAGACCTGAACCGAAAGTGGGGGGTGTCATCACCCTTTAAACAATATTTTTTTCTGTCTACTAATTGTATTTAACAATTTTACTTCTTAGAATTTTTGTCAATCTCAATCTCCGGGTCTGAATGCAGACTCAGTGCTGCAGGTCTCTTGCACTGCCTATTTTAACCATTAGCCCTGCTGGTAATCTAGAGGATTTAGGTGAACACAGCAGCATGGCGATGTGTCTAAATGTGATCGAACTCCTGATAAAAGACAACGTCCGCTATTCTCTAATTCTCGTATTGCTCTCCCGACAAAAATGCTTGCTGCACACACACAACATTGCTGTATGATCGGCCTTGACTAGATTGTGGGGAAAAACATGCAACAAAGCCTGTGGATCATGGAAACAAACACATACAACCCTTCATGAACAGCTGAATACTGTGTGCCGTGGGTCCGTGTCTCACAGCTTGGCACTGGCAGGTCTGCCTTGCCTTCGGAAAGCAAGTGCAGTCATGAATAATTAAGAAGCCGGCTCTTCCCATAGGATAAGAAAACTCCGCTATGAATAATAATGAGAAACCGACGCGTCATCTTTGCTCTTGCAGTTCTGAGCTACGTCGCCGATTTTGATCCCGCCTCAAAAATCATTTTAAACCCAGAAGCTGAAAGTAGCTGACAAAAGCTCAAAATTATTCCGTTTACCCCAAAATTAAAGCTAATAGGTGCTAACATTGTCCTAACTGATGCTCAACACACACACATCTGTTAAAATCTCAAATAAAGTACTCTGGTTTCGTGAACCTTTAAGGGCGCCTTATAATATTGACCTTAAAATGGTTTTTAAAAAAATGAAAAACAGCTTTATTCTAGCTGAAATTAAACAAATAAGACTTTCTCCAGAATAAAAAATATTATAAGAAATACTGTGAAAATTTCATGGCTCTGTTAAACCTCATTTGAGAGATATTTGAAAAAGAATAACAAATTTACAAGAGGGTGAATACTTTGGACTGTATATTGCAGACTCAACATTGCATATCTTGGGATGTGATTATTACGGATGCGTACATTGCGATATCGATGCTGAAACATTATATTGTGCAGCCCTATTTCGCATTATTCTGTATGATTGAGAAGTCCTCTACACGTTACCAGAACTCACTGGAAGATAAAGATGTTTTGATTCAAAAGTATGTAGACAAGGTAAAGGAGTAGAATCATGCATGGTTGAATTGAATATTGTATTCTATTTTCAGACCTGAAGAATCCTGAGATCGTGACCTTGAGGAACCTGACTCAGGACAGCTCCGGCTTGTACAAGTGCACCGCCAGCAATGATGTGGGAGAGGAGAACTGCATCATCGAGGTCACCATGCAGTGTGAGTACTGCTCTGAGATCAGTCTGAGCCACAGGCCACACAAGTCTCTAATGAGTCTGAGTGCGTGATACTGTAATTCTGGATCAGTCACTGGTGCTGCATGAAGAATTCAGACGCAAAAGCCGCTAAACGCCACTTCCGCCAAATATGAGATAATGACATTGAGTAAATGCTTTAGGCATGTACTTCACCATCAACAGGTAGATTTGCTTTGAATCATCTAAATTGCAGCGTCAGCGCATTCAGAAATAACTGTTTGCTATTATAACGCCACTTGCCTTTGACAGTAAAAGCCAACATATCCCGTGAACCAATCAGAAGCCTGAATCGAATCATGTGTTTTCAATGTAGCAGTGCACTGACCCACCGACTTTTATGAGGAGACTCTGTATCCAATTTCGATTTTAAAAGACTGAGTTTGATGAACTGGATGAGTTTGTCCGACTGTCAGTGAATGGCCAATGAAAACGTCTCTTACCTCAAAACTCAGTGCATTATAAGAAAAAGAAAACACTGTACAGTCGGAAGTGTAACATGCATTCATAATGGGTTTTTGTGCAGCGGCGCTACTTTGAATGAGTCTGATTTACTATACATTAAAATTATTTTCATAAATTTTTATTATTTTATGAATTAATTTTAGGTGGTTTGTAATAATAAAATAAAATTAAATTAAATAAAATTAAATAAAATTAAATTAAATTAAATTAAATTAAATTAAATTAAATTAAATTAAATTAAATTAAATTAAATTATTTCTAATTGCATCTTTATTTTTCTTTTATTTTTTCTTTATCTTGTACCAATACATGGATTTAGAGGTGTTTGCACAAAAAAAAAAAAAAAACAGACGTGGATTTAGCTGGTTTTGGCGCAGGAAAATTTACCTTGTTAAAAAACAAAGTATTGTTTAATAAAGTGGAATTTAAAAAAATAACCTATTTTATTTACTAGCTAGTAACCCTATCGTTGCATTTAAATTGAAACGTCTAAACCTAATTAGAGAAGCCTGATAGATAGAAAATGCTCATTTACAGAAAAGAGGTCTGATAAACTTAGAGGGTTTTGCATCTGAACTGTTCATACAAACACACACACACACACACACGCACACACACATTACATTATATATATATATATATATA